TAACATTAACTGTTGTTGGTTGGGCTACTGATTTCCATTTCAAAGGTTTGGATGGTTCCTCCAATTTGGATGGTATTTATTAGTGGACAGGTCAGGAATGTTGTACCTGTTTTGGTTGTTACCTTGATTGTAAAGGGCTATTGCATATGCTTGAGGTAACTCGGTAGTCTTTTCATCCTGCAGAATATGACATGTATTGGTGGGATGGTCAGGAGAAGTACAAATACCACATAACCTTGTTGTTTGGGCTGCTTGGGCTTCTGTTTGAGCTTTACCTACCACTGCCAACAGTTTCACTAAAGAGGTCAGCTTATCCTTTCTATTTTCAAAGGCCTTGCTGGAAGAAGAAACATGAACCTCATTCACATCATTTATTTGGACAAAATTGTTCCTAGTTGTGAACTGTTGGGAGTTGAGTGAGATATTCTCAATCAGGGCTTTGGCAACAGCTGAAGTCTTATCAACGAGTGCTCCACCACTAGCAACATATAAAATGTTCCTGTCCATTGGTTGCAATCCTTCACAGAAATATTGAATCAGTAACTGCTCGGTAATCTGGTGTTGTGGGAAACATGAAACTAATTTTTTGAATCTCCCACATTATTCAGCCAATGATTCATTGTCGAGCTGTCTAATACCACAAATATCTTTTCGGAACGAGATAGCTCTAGAGACAGGAAAGTAGCTCTCTAGGAAGACTTTCTTCAAATTGTTCCAAGTTGTGACAACATTTAGCTCGAGATAATATAACAAATCCTTGGCAGCACCTTGTAGTGAAAACGGAAAGGCTCTCAGCTTGATGTGATTTTCTGTAACTCCTTCAAGCCTCAACGGAGTAGAACAAACGATCTGAAATTCTTTAAGATGCTTGTGTGGATCCTCACCTACAAGACCATTAAACCTTGGCAAGAAGTGTATTAATCTAGATTTTAATTCAAAAGGAACAACAAGGTCAACATACTCAATACACAAACCAGATTTCTAAAAGGAGACGATTTTCCCTAAAACCAGTTTTTTTTACTAGGTCGGACGCAAGACGAACATCCGGACGGGAAAACAGCAAAACAACAAGACGAAAGTTTAAAATGCACTAATTGACACCTATGAGTCAACTAACGGTTAAAAATGACGAGAATCTCCGGTAACGGTGCCAATTTGATCAGTTGTCGCGCACAGATAAAAAACGAGTGATTTTTATAATATAGTTAATGGTAATGACAACTCGAGTATCATTCTCAAGGATTCTTGTAATATTAACTGATTGGACAATGGGGGGTTGAATTTCGATTAACAGAAAAATAGTGCAATTAAGTCATTATCAATTTAAGCTAAAACGGTTATTTACTATGTTGGTTTCCCAACTTATCATCGACCCAAATAATTCCCAATTCCTAAGCGGGCTCTATTCCCTTTTCAATTATAATAACAACCAAACGAGCACAATTGATATTATACAATAGATATTCTTAATTTCTGTATTAAGAAAATGGATGAGATATAACATTGTGAATTAAGCAAACAAGATAAACAGACATGGATTAAGCAAACGAGATTAAAGTATAGAAACATGTAATCATCGAAATAAATCAATCAACCCTAAGATAAATCGAATTAAGCAAATAAGATATCAAAGAGAAGAATTTAAAGGAAATATATTTTATTGGAAATTAAAAGAACCTCAAAGTGTCGGTGGAAACCGATTACAGCAGATTAATTCTTGGGATTAGTTATCCATAGTAATCGTACAAAGCTCTGTACTTTTTCGTGAATAGTGTAAAAGAATGGTACAACACGACGGCTAGAAAACCTTTTAACAAAATTAGGATTTCACTAAAAATTCAAACCGGATCGAAAACATAAACCAGGTCCATAAAAACGATCATTTAGAGGATGCATGAGTGGATGGTTAATCCACTAATATTTTAGAGAATGTGGTCAAATATCTCCTTTCATACCGTTATAAAATAAGGACACGTCATTTTTCCACTTTCCTACCTCAAGAGACCCCTCCCCGAGAAATACGACATATACAATAAATGGATGGTATATATAATAAATGTGTGATCAATCCAATAAACAAGCAATGACGTGTTACTCGACTCCAATGTCACCTCTCGTGGCTCCTTGCAAATATATTGATACATTGTTCTTTACCTTTTGGAAAACAAATGCATTTTCCCGGATTTGAAATCTCAAGAGATGATTAGTTTGACTAGTAAAACTAAAGGATCATATAGGCTTGTGACTAATGGTGGTGCTCAAATTTATGTAGCAGTTCCTCATTCCAAGACCAATAACTAGTGTTAACATGGTTTGTGTGATACATGTTCAAGCCTTATGAAATTTTAGACTAGGTCATTTCTCACATGAAAGATTGTCTTAGATGTCTTATGAAAAAAAAAATTTATGACATTTGTCACTTTTCCAAACATAAATAGTTACCCTATAATTCTAGTTTTTCTAAAGTCATTCAAAGATTTGAATTGATACATTTTGATATATTGGTTCCTTTATCAACATCTTTTGTTCATGGCCATAAGTATTATTTAAAATTCTAAGATGATTTTAACAGGTATGTCTGGATAACTCTCCTTAAATCCAAAATAGAAGTTTCTACCCAAATTTAAAATCTTGTCAGTCTCATGAAAAATCAGTTTTAAACAAGTTCAAAGTATATCAAAATTGATAAAGGCTCTGAGTTCCTAATCCTCTCATTCTATACATCTAAAGGAATCATACATAATGGTTTTTGGGTAGAAAAACCTCAAAAAAATGGAAGGGTTGAGATAAAATTCCAACACATTCTTAATATAGGAAGAGCTTTACTATATTAGTTTAAACTTTCAAAACATTTTCGGTTTTATGTTATTTCTTATGTCACTTTCATAATTAATAGAGTTAACACTCCCTTTATAAAAAAAATCACCCTACCAAATATTACATGAATCTCCACCCAACATGATTAAAATAAAAGTTTTTGAATCTATTTAAATCTGATTAAAATACACAGAAAGGAAGGTTAAATTGTGTATTTAAAAAAATACTCACTTTTGATAAACAGCTTCAGAGTCTGAACAAAGTTCAGAGTCTGGTATTAGAGTAAGAGTAGCAGCAAAAAAATAAAATTCAGAAGCAATAGTAAATCAACGCACAAAATTTATCTTGTTCCTCTCCTCAACTTAGAGTAGTCAAAACCTCTTGCCTTAACAAGAACTTTTCACTATAATCAACACTGATTACAATTTTTCTTAATCAAACCAGAAAGAGACTTCATTGCTCAATCAATTCAGAATGAGACTTCCGCTCAAACAACTTAGAAAGAGACTTTTTCTCAATTACACTAGAAAGAGACTTCGCTGCTCAAGCACGCATTTAAGAGACTTCGCTGCTTAAGCACATCGGCAAGAGACTTTCTCTATTTTTAAAAAACAGTTTAGTAGAAAAGATAATAACTATACTTTGATACACAATCAGAAGTATAACAGTTGTATAACAACCACAAAGGTTCTTAACTCTTAAGATTTTTAAGATATACTAAGATAAGAAATCTTAAGAGCTTATGTAATAACAGTTATAAACAATAGCTCAAATTTATGCTCAAGTTGTTCTGATGTAGCTTGTTCTTGTTGTTGTACACCTTCTTTCAAATCCTCAGCTTCCTTTTATAGAGGCATAAAAGTATCATTGAAAGGGATAAGCATAAGAGCTTTCTTCATGAAGAAGCATGCTAAGAGACACGTTGGAGGATGTATCTAGTTAGAAACAATGTCCAAAGAATAAAAGCATTGTTCACAGCATCTTTCGAATTATTAGGTATCTACCAAAAGGTAGAACAGACTGACGAGGTCGCATCATCATTCTTTGAGCCTTACAAAATGAAACTTTAGTTTAATATCTTCAGAAATATGGCGTTTTGACAAGACTAGCCTGCTTTTGGTACAGAGTACAGATCAGAGGCCCCTTTAGTCTTCAGAGTCTGAGCTGTCACCAGAGGCAGGAATGCCATGACCAGAGTCAGAATCCTCAGAGGCAGAACCACCACATTTAAAGTCTGATCCTTCAGAGTCATCAGATTTTGATCTTATAGAATCTAAGATGCTTTGTTTATCCACATATGCTTTTAACATGGTTTATTTAGAGTTACATACTTAATTTGTGATCTTGTACACTTGAACATATGTTAGTATATCCAATTATTCTTTAAGTACTTTGTTATCGTCAAAATTTAAGGAATATGAACATTTTTGTTCCAACACTCTTTTATATACTTCTACCTTAAAAAAATCATATAACCAAAGTTTCTTGTAGAGCAAGAAAGTCTCAATTTTTATGCTATGTTGTTAGTTTCAAATGTTTTGTTTATGTTAAATCTTAATACACAAGAAGTTTTAATCTGAATAAATGTTACATTTCATGAAAATATCTTACTTAATCATGTTCAAACACCATTTGCCACACATTACTGAGAATATTTCAATAACTTGCATAACTTGTTATAACTTTCTTCACATAACTCTCATAAAAATTAACCACAAACCCTTGAGCCTATTCACATTATTCCTGTCATAGACCCTACACATGGTACTAACCAATCCATTCCTTCATAGAATCCACTCATGATGAAATCCAATCACCCATCATAGATTTCATTCCTAACAGGTATCATCAAGGGTGGGCATCAACCATCACATCTTAAAAACTATGCATGTGTTCATTTTAATGATGCATCAAACAAATCCTCTTCAAGTACTCTCTATCTTTTATCTAATTATCTCTCACATACTCAATTCTATCATTCTCATTGTCATTTTAGTCTTTTAATAACAACGCAAACTGAGCCAAAATCATCTAATGAACCTATAAAATTTGATTATTGGAATCAAGCTATGTTCGCTATAATCAGACACCTTTAAACAGACACCTTTAAACAACTGTAGTTATCATTAGATGCATACAGCAAATAGCACATACAAATTACACTAACCTAATTACAAGGGTTGTTAGACTTCAGCATACATGAGAAAGGCTATTGTACCAATGAAAGAAATCAAAGAGAATGACACACAGCCAGTAGACTTTATGGACCCAACCTTAGAGATCACCTTGTCTTCTGCAAAATTATCATCAAACAATTACGCATTTTCCGCATAATATAAAACAAATGGAAGAAAAGAAAAAAAAATCTTTATACATATGAAGGGTCAAGGAGCTTACTGCATTCTTTTGGATGACACAAACAGTTCAAGCCAGCATTACAGCTACCATTAGGCTCTTGACACCCTTTGCAGATCTCTGGTACATGATTTGGAATGTTAACAGATATCCTTAATAGAGAATGGATAGAAGAGTTTGAAGTCAAGAAAGGAGGTTGAGTTTTGATATTCGTGTGGTTATGATGAGGTATAGAAGAACCTAATATGACATTGAGTAGGAGTAAGAATTGAAGAAGATGGATTTTCTTAAGTGGCTTCATGTTCATCCTTTTTTCTCTATATCCAACAATAATTGTTTGAATATTATAGTGTTTCTTTTCTTGATGATACTAGATAGTTGATAGGAAAGTATAATACCAACGCTTTTAAAAAACCAAACCAATCTGGTCGATTGAACAGGTTGAATCAGAAACCGGCTGGTTCATTAATTGGTTGGTTTGATCTTAATGTAAAAAACAAACCGGATAAATCATAAACTGGATGATTCGTTGGTTGGTTTGATCTTAATGTAAAAACCAAACCAACATGATTGATTGAACGGGTTGAATCAGAAACCAACTGCCTCATTGGTTGGTTTGGTTTTAATGTAAAAAACCAAACTAGCTAGTTGGTTTGATCTAAATTAAGTTGTAAAATGATTGAATCGGATGAAACCTCAATTCAATTACAATTAGTTCAGCATACTTTCATTATTTATTTATTTATTTATCATCTGATTCAACTATAAATGAACCAGTTGAATTAGTAACTTATAAATCCGATTTTTCATTGGTTCGATCTCCTAACCAACTTTTTAAACTTTGCTCAACATTACAATCAAATTAGGTCCCATGACTAGATTAATGTGTTTCCTTTTTTCCACCTTTTTCAGGTCACTAGAAAAAGGCCACACTACTTTGAGTCTGAGGTATCTTGGTGAAGAACTTTTGAGGACATCTTTCATTAAAGTATTTTAACTTATTTCCAATTTGTCATTGAGTTTTGCATGATTTAATGTCTTTCACAATTGATAATCATTTACTGCCATCCTAAAGTTTGCTTTTGTGTTTAGGCTTTATTAAACAAAGCAAATGATTTATTCATGCGCAGCTAATGAAGACCCTTGTCAATAGTTCTTTACTTTAACTTTGAGTTGTAAAATATACTATCCCTATGACACTCTTTGTGTTGTTTGTGAATTTCTTATAATATTTTGGATACTGGAGGCGTATTAAGTATTAACATGGTGGAAGAAATTGGGTCACAATTAAACCTAACTTAATTGAACACTTATGTTATGATATTTTTCATATAAACGTTTATGTATATAGTATTTTATATAGGTTTTAAATTGTTTTTATAAGTTTTTTTTAGATTTTATGGAAATAAGTTAAATGAAGCTTATGAATATGTTCTAGTTCAATCACAAAGTTCAATTAGCTTAATTACATATTAATACAACATTTTCTAACCCTAAAATATTGACGTGAGACCGAGATTAAAAATGTCATCTTTTTTAATTGTAATTCTTAAGAAGGTCCTAGGAATGTGAGACTTACAATGGTCATGCCTTAGAGTTATACCTGATCTAAGCAAATCATTAGACCGAGATCATCATTTCTTGTAACGAATAATTTTCTGACATATGTCTTCCATTTTTCACAGCAGACTAGCAAACAAGGTTTTACATCTCTAAAATCCTATAATCTCGTTATAAAAGGTCATTTATAATGTCGCATCTAAGTACTCATTTTCTAACCTTAAAATATCTCTTGTCTTTGACATATTAGGGTGTAATTCAAATTTACATTAGTTGCATTTGAATTTCATTTAGGTTTTGATTAGTATATAAACTAAGTCTGATTTAGTTTGTAAAGAGATTCTGATACACAACTGTTTTATCATTTCTGTTAGAAAGTTTGTTATAGATTTTTTCTTTTCTTTCTCTCTCTCTTCCATCATCTTCTTCATATTCAACCTTGTGCACCAACAATTGATATCTAGAGCTCCGATTTTGATTCATATCGGAAAATACGAGTGTACGTGAGGCGTGTGTGATTGATTTTAGTTCTGAAGTTCACAGTGAACTAAAATTCAAAATTGAAACAGAATCACATTTCTTGATTCTGAGAGGATTGGGAAACACAAGTGTTAGTGAGAGTAAAGTGAATTTGCACAAGATCAAAGATGATCGGTGGAAACAGTAGCTTGAACACAAAACTTCCAGTCTTTGATAGAAATAATTGGAATTGATGGATGATTCGGATGTGTGTGTTGTTTGGCGCTCAAAATATTCTTGATCTCGCCAATGACGGTTATGCGGCGGCCAACAGATGCAACTGAAGCACAAAGAAATGCGCGCATAGAAACGAGGAAGAAGGATCAAAAGGCGTTGTTCTATATCCATCAGTGCGTGGATAGGAATGTGTGTTTGAAAAAATTGCTTATTCAACAACGACGAAGGCTGCGTGGAACACACTGGTACGATGCTATGACGGTGATGCATCAGTGAAGATGGTGAAACTTCAGTCTCTACGTAAGCAGTATGAGAATCTCAACATGATGAACAATGAGAAGGTACCTGATTACATCTCCAGAGTGATTGTGATCACAAATGAGATGAAATCTTGTGGAGAAACTCTCTCTGAGCATGTAATCATTGAAAAGGTACTGAGATCACTTACTTCTCAGTTTGATTACATTGTTGTAGCAATTGGACACTCTAAGGATCTTAACACCATGAGAATTGAAGAGCTGCAAAGTAGTCTATAGGCACAAGAGTTGTGTCTAACTGAGATAACCTTTGAAAGAGAGGTAAAGCAGGATCTAAAGGCGACTTTTGGTAAGAAGAATCAAAAGCATCCATAGTTAGAGGCCAAGAAGAGACATGGTGGTGGTTATCAGAAGTCAGAAGCCTCTAACTATGATGAGAAAAAACATCATAAGGGAAATGAGAAATTTGACAAAAAGAAGGTCCAGTGCTACTGTTGTAAGAAGTTTGGTTACTTTGCTATTGGTTGTTGGTCAAACAAGGAAAGGAAATCGAAAAAATAAAACATAGCCAGAGGAGAGTTAGATGATGAACATGTGCTATTGATGGCTTCTGAGTCTAATGGTGGATATTTGGTAGACTTATGGTATATAGACACTGGCTGCTTAAATCACCTAACTAGAAACAAACAATGGTTAATTAATTTTGACTCTAGAAAGACGACAAAGATCAGATGTGTTGATGATAAGTATCTTAATGCTAAAGGAATGGGAAATATCAAGTTCAGAGTGAAGAATGGCAAAACTGTTCTGATCAAGGATGTTTGGTATGTTCTTGGCTATAAGAGCAATCTGATGAGTGTAGGTCAGTTAATTGAGAAAAGTTTCTCAGTTGCTATGAAGGACAATCTCTTGAAGTTGTATGATTCTGATCAAAATCTGGTTATGCAATATGAACAGGGGAAGCAACAAAACATTCAAGGTAAATATGGAGACATTTGAAACTAAATGCCTTAGTATAGAAGGTGTTGAAGGTGATGGTGAGCGATAACACAAGATATTAGGGTATTTGAGCTTCAGAAGCTTAGAGCATCTGAGTTCTAACAAGCTAGTACATGGAATTCCTAAGATTGTGAAGGCTGAGAAGTCATGTGATATATACATGAATGGCGAGCAACCTAGATTTCCATTTGCATCAGAAGTGGCTCCAAGAGAAAAATATGTTTTAGGAGTAGTGCATTTTGATGTATGTGAACCATTTGAAGTACTTTCACTTTGAGGAAATAAGTACTTTGTGTAATTTGTGGGTGAGCTCACAAGAATGACATGGGTAGCACTGATCAAGTTTAAGCATGAGGTGTTTACTGAGTTTTAGAAGTTCAAGGTGAAGGCTGAAAAATAGAGTGATCAGAAGCTAAAAATTCTCTGAACCAATGGTGGAGGTGAGTACAACTCATCAGAGTTTCAAAGGTTTAGTGAGGAGAATGGAATTGAGCATGACTTTACTGCTCCATACACTCCTCATCATAAAGGTCTTTCGGAAAGAAGAAACATAACTCTGCTTGATATAACAAGGAACATGATGAAGGAGAAGAAGCTTCCTCACACCTTGTGGGGGAAGTTGTTGCCACTGAACCATATGTGCTAAATAGGTGTCCAACCAAGAAGCTAAAGGAAATTGTTACTTTAGAAAAGTTGACTGGAGATAAGAAAAGTGTAAGCCATCTGAAGGTGTTTGGTTTTATTTGTTATAAACATGTCCCAAATGCTAAAAGAAGAAATTTAGATGATAGAAGTAGAGTCATGTTTCTTGTAGGGCACCATAATACAGGTGCTTATAAGCTCTACTATCTTGTCACTAACAAGGTGAAATTCAACAGAGATGTCATTGTGAGAGAATCAGAAGCATGGAATTGGAACAAGTCTCAAACTATATTTGGTGCAGTGTTAACACTTGAGTTAAATTTTGAAGATATTTCAGACTCTAAAGGAGAATCTAACTCTTAAGGAGATTCTGCCATTAAAGATTAGCCGGAGTCTGAAGGTGACTCTGACGCTTAAGAAGAGTGTGAAGGCGAACCTTACTTTGAAGGTGAATCTGATTCTGATCCATATTTTGATGATGATCCAGACTCTGGTGATAATCATGCCTCTGAAGATGGTCATGTCTGTTGGTGTAAGCCCTAGAGGCCAATACTTTTTGGTACTTGTATTGGATTATTCGTTTAATAATAAAAGGTATTTCTTTATTATGTTTGTCTTTCAGAATAATAAAGTCCCTAGAATAGTTAGTTTGTTTAATGAAATGTTAAGTGTGACTTAATCATGAGATCCCATTAAACATAAATACACTATTCTTAAAATATCCGTAGTCAAGCTTTATTGCAAAGTGGGATAACATTAAAAGCATTGAGACTATTATGAAGATAGACTGATGATCACATCTCATGGATCATGGATAAAGAGTTATCAAGTCTTGACATAGGTATAAATATTAGGAGTAATATTTATACCGGATTGACCCGCTATGAGAATACTACATAGTATGTTATGCAAAGTGTCATAAGTTATTCTCATGGTGATAATGGTGTATTACCACCCTTCGACCTGAAACCACTATGGACCCTAGATGTAGAGTCGGGTGCTTTATTGCTGATCAAACATTATCCGTAACTGGATGATCATAAAGACAGTTGATGGGCACTCCACGAAGCATGCTGAGGGACATGAGTGTCCTAGATGGAATTTGCCAATCCTGCATAACAGGAGAAATGTCTAAGGGCCCAATATTGAACTG